ATTGCACAAATTGCTTTAAAAGATTACATTTGAATAAAGTACCCATAGATAAAATTACATAGATAAAAATACATTTCATATATAAAAATACATTACATACATTAAAATACATTACATACATAAAAAATACATCCCTTATATATAAAAAATAATAATATACTAATAAAATTTAAAATATCTTTTTAAAACGTTGACAAGTTAAAAAATATAAATTTAAAATATTTATTATTGTAAACAAATGTTAGTTTAAAACATTTATAGCTGGGCAGATGTGGCTCCAAGAATTAAAACAATAGTTCATTTGCTAGTATACTCTTAAAATAATTTATGCTAGAAATCTTAACAAAAACGTAACAAAATTCAAATAATACAGTTTTTTAAAATATTTCAACAGAATACCCAGGACATTCGGTTAGTATTTTTTGAACCAATAGAATTAGTTGTTTGTAGATTTGGCGGGTTTTTTGTGTTCGCGAATTTTTTTATTATTTTTTTTCTGCACTGATGTTTAAGAATATTCAAATTTATGTACGTTTCCATGTAAGTCCACAAAACGAAATATTTTAAAATTTAAGACAAAATGAATTTATTATTTTGCGGACAAACAAGAAAACATACATAAACTTCAATGTTCTCAAAGCGACTAAAAAATCTGGCCGGTTTTTCGTAACTAAATATTATTTCCGTGGTCAGTTATCGAGTGCAATCGCACCCGCTTACCGACTAAGCCTGATATATATATATATATATATATATATATATATATATATATATATATATATATATATATATATATATATATATATATATATATATATATATATATTAGCCAATTCCATAATTTTTTTCAATAACCAATTTTACAGATCTCTTGTTTCTGAAGCAAATTTGCTTCAGAATTAACTGTTTAAACGCTGCAAATGTACAATAAATATTTATATACATTTAAATTTTCAGCTTAAGGCAGTATCTCAAGAAAAAATGTAAAAAAAATAATTTTCAAATGTACTTTTAAGGTTCAGAGTTTGCAGTTAAGTATCGGATCAAAATTAAAATTATTAGAACCATTCAATAATGAGAAAGCAAGAAAGCAGTTGCCGTAGCTAGCTTCTTAAATCCATTCTTCTTCTTTTTTAATAGTTCTTTACAAGCACTTTTTATTTGAAGTAGCTTATAAAGCTTCTCCAAGCTCATCACATTCTCTACATTGTCTCAAAAAATTTACTGTAAGCACAGCAAAATGAATTTTTTATTATGAAATATTTCTCTTAAGAAGAAATACATTTCTTCTTTTAAGAAATAAATATCCTACCCTGCAATTTATTTTTAAAAACAAGAAATATATTTCTTGTTTTGAGAAATGAATTTCTTAAACTATGCTTAATAGGTTTACAATTTTGCTGTGAGTTCTGATGAGTTGTTAGTGATTGAAAGGTTTTAAATGTTTTGGAGTTCATTTTATCCAAAAAGTCTGAGGGAGTCTCATCTGTAGACATTTTTCAAACTATGACACCTAGAATATCAAAAATTAACCAGTAGTCTGGTGAAATATACAATTCAAGACCTATTGGCTGGTCTTTATCAATAAAAACTGCTTTCAGAAGGATTTCATGCATTTTTACATTGTAAAAGTGGATGAAAAAGTTTTGATTCTATCCATTTTTACATCTTTTTGGACTTCCATTTGTTTTTGAATTTTTTGCCATTTTTATATTGTGATCTCGATCAAAAGATGCTAACGCCAGCACCAAACACATCTATGGTTTTACCATTATTTGAATTTCACCTCTGAAGCAGGCTTATTATACATCTGCCAATAGTCTTGTTGATCTTTAAGGTTAAAAATAATGCCATGTAGATAAAATAGGGTTTAAAATGACACTGATATAAAATTATTACATTTAATTTTGACAAGATAAAATTAAAGTGCTATTTCTATCAATTTCATTTTTACTATATTTCTACTGATTTTAAGAAAAGTCTGTCATTGCAAAAAAAAAATTGGTTTAGAGTTATTTTCTTTTAATTTTGTATCTCATTTTAAACCATTTTGTAAGCCATTGTTTATAAACAATTTGTTACTTTATGACATTAATTATTCTTAAAAAATAAGACTAAAATATCAAAACTTATGAAATTAAGTTTTAAAAATTGCAGTATCAGAAAAGTCGCAGGTCAAAAACTACAATGACCTGTAAAGAGAAATGTAGTCAGCCATTCTATTGATCTCTTTGAGTATTTTATTACTCAGAATAAAAACCTGGCTGATTTTAGATTAATGCAACTTGAATTTCATAAAATTCAAGGCGTGTGAAACAGCTCCATATTTGTTAACTTTCACCTAATGGTCTGATTTTTTCCCGCATTTATATTTTTCCTGCATTTATATATTTCCCGCGTTTATACATTAGTATATATTTTTTACAAATATATATTAATGTAAATAATTTTAAAATTAGAAATTTATACATTTTGTTTTTTCTAAAGGTATTTTGAAAAAACAAAATGTATAAATTTGAAAATGAAGTAGTTTTATCTTTACCTTACTATTTTTTAACCTTTTATGGTTTTATGATATAAATAGTTTATTTACCAGCTTAACAGATTTATTTGTGGCTACGGCTATATGAAGCTCTACAAAATGATGGCAGGAGGTTATCAAGAATAATGGTCGTCCAGGAAACTTAGCTAATCTTGTACAAAACCTTTTTAAATAGCCAGGGGTTGAAGTGGGTGAACTGTATGAGATTAAAAGCAAATGATAAATTTCTAATTGCTATGTATTGTGCCTCAATGCTATTGTGTTTAAAAACCACGTTTTATAGGTTTCACAATGAATTTGTATGTTTTTAAAATACCACCAGTTAACAAAAATAATAGTAATAAAAATGCGCACAATTGGTATAGAAAAAAAACCTTCCATCATTTGTAATGATATTATTATACAGCTAATGATTTGTAAATTTCTACTTGCGCCAATTGTTTGAAAATGCCCTTAAAAACTTGAAAAATCTAAAAATTTTAAACTTTAAAAGAGTGGCGTGAGTATAAATAGTCATTCAAAATAAAAAATAAAAAAATTTCATTAAGGAAACATTACCTTAGGTAAATTTTATGACACTCCGCGCATTAAAATTTGTTTACGAGGGCCAAAATAGGATTGGCCTATATATATATATATATATATATATATATATATATATATATATATATATATATATATATATATATATATATATATATAGATAGATAGATAGATAGATAGATAGATAGATAGATAGATAGATAGATAGATAGTTAGACATATAGTTTGTGTTTGTGTACACACATGCATATGCTAACAGATACAGATTTGATGCAGTATTGCTGAAACTTGCAAGTGCATTAACACTCAAAACATATCAAGAATTTATCTGACAAAATATTTTGCTTTAACTTTGTCTATTTTATGTATAAAAAACTCTTGATTTATGTCATTTATTCTAATCATGTGTCTATTTTTCATTCTTTTAAAATACTTAAAAAGAATTAACTTTTTTTTTTATTGCATAAAATATTAATGACATCAAAATAAAAACTATAAAACCATTAAAATCTAAAGTAAAATTTTAGAAACAAATTCTATTTATTTTTTAAAGAAATCATTTCTTAAAAATGTTAATTCAATGCATGCAAAATATATGTGTTATTCATTAATTTGTTAAAAGCTATTTAGTTAAAAACTTTAAATTTGAATAATTTAGAATATAAAGGAGAACTCTTTTAATTAATAAATTTTAAGTACAAATATTTTTATATTTATAAATTTTGTTAAAATATATAAAGTTTATATATTTAACTATATATATTTTAATTATCAAAACAAAAAAGAAAGCAGAGCTGCACCAACAGTTATTATTAATGCTGCTAAGTTTACATGTAATATACTGTAGTGTTCAAGAAGCAGCGAGGATAGAAAAACTACAGCTATTACATATGAAGTAGATGCTACCATAAGCACCATACAGCTTATCTCTGGAGAAATTGGATGAGTTTCAGATACCATATGTGTATATGCAACTGAGTAATAACTGGTTGATGTCATAATAAAACAACAGTATGATATGGAAATAGCTACAAAGGAATGATAGAGTTCTAGAAAACATGTCCACATTGCAAGAAAACATATAGAAAGCAAAAATATTACTTTGGTAGCTAATTTAAAGTTTTTTGTTTTGTCCAGTATCACACCAACAATGACATTAGCTATAAATCCTAAAATAATTGATGTAAACCCAACTAAACCAATATCTTTTTCTTTTCCAGGAAATAATCCAATTAATACATTGTTTAAAATAGCTCCAAACGAGTATTCTAAAGAGGCTGAAACTGCTATTATATGGACAATAAGAACAAAGTTTCGTAACTTGTAAAGTTTCTTTATGCTTTCAATAAACGAGTGTTGGTTATCTTCATTTTTGTTTTTTTTTAGTGAACTTTTATCTAACTTACATTCCAAAATTTGTTTTTTAATTAATTTTTTTGATTTATTTTTTCGGAGCTGTTCTGCTTCATAGCTTGGTGGGTTTACTGGGAAGCTTTTAACACAAATTAATGTTAAGAAGAATGCCACACACCCCATAATTAGTTGGTGTAATACAAGGCTTCTTATTCCTGCTTTAGTATTATTATAATTTTTAGTGTTTTCAACAACGTTAGTTGAATGCAGAAACCCTAATGCAGCTGAAAACATATCAAAACCTACGCATACACCAATCACTCTTCCAATCTCGTTTTTTGCAAACCAATTAACTGCAAGCTTTGGAGTTAAAAACAAAAGGGCAGCAAGTGACAAACCTGAAAAAAAATTTCCTGTAAGCAAAAAATAATATCCATTATGGCTATAGGAAAAATATCTTATAACTCCACCAATTAAATTTAATGTTCCTGACATTTTCATGACAAATGCAAGTTCAAACTTGTGCAACAAATAAGAAGAGGGAAGGTTAAATAAGACAACCAAAAAAGCATACATTCCTAACAGCATATGAATTGCAAAAGGCTTCACTTGATAAAATTCTTCTAGTATGTTTGAAATTGCAGGGAATGATGTGGAAGTTGTTGTTACAGCTGTTGTTAAAGTACAATAAGAAAGAAGTACTAACCATCTCCTTTTATAAAGCATGTAGTTATTTCCTTTTGCAGTACTGCTGTCATTTGCATAGTTTAACTGTATTTCACATTTAGTACTAATTCTTGCATCTAAAGACTCATTGGAAATAATAGTAATGTTTGTTTCATCATCCAAAAAGGTCATTTCTGCACTTTGATTATCATCAAAACTAATATTTTTTATATAATTGTTTTCTTCTGTATTGTTCATTTGAATATTGTTTATTTCTATTGTTTCTCGCATTTTTTACTCAACTATTTATCTAAATGTATTAGATTTAAAAAAATTTATAAAATAATTTTTTTTTCTGTGTGCATATCTTGTTATCATTTCAATCAAATCAATAATGCTAATTTATGCATTTAGAGAAGATGAGTATTATATCAATAGCATTTTATTACTTCTCCCATCCATCAATTATTTATTATAAATTTCTATTCACTCTTGTTGAATAATACATTATTTTTTATGAATAATGTATATTTTCAACAAGAGGAAAAAAACTGTTCCTATACAGTGTGTTTTTTTTTTGACTAATTTTTTATTTCAAGTAAAATTGATTTAACAGTGTGCACCTGTGGTTAATGCTTTAAAAGATTTACACACCAACTTAGTTGCCATTTTTATATTATAAGTTGTCAAAACTCTTTCATATGAAATTTAAAGAGAAAAGCAATTTAGTCTATAAACAATTTTATTAATACATAAATTAATAAAATTTATTTTTTAAAAAAATATTTAAAATAGATAATGGTTTTCCTAAATTTTCTTTTTCAACTTTTTATATCAATTTTTAAAATATAGAATTTATTATGTGACAAAAATAACAAATGCAATATTAGCTAAAAACATAAAAATTTTTGTGAAAGTTGTTAAAGCCAATCTCTTATAAATAGTAAAAGCCAAACTCTTCTAACCAATAAAAGCCAATCTCTTCTAGTTAATCTCTTATAAATAGTAAAAAGAATCAATTATTTTATATATCTAGGTTTACATTCTAAATGAAGGAGGAGGAGGACAACTAATCTCATTAGCATAAACAAATGCATAAACTTATTTATAATAACAAAATAATTTACTAAATTTTTTTAATGAAACTATAAACAAATATATGTCATAATGTTGGAAACAGAAATATATATATGTCATAACTTTTTTTTTGTTTTTTTTGTTTTTTTTTTTTCCATATAGATATTTTTTTAATAAAATCAATTACACAATTAAAGAGAATATTATTAAAATAACAATATTAAAATAAAGTTACAAAGATTAAAATGAAGTCATGAAGCTTAAATTAAGCCAGAAGATGTAAAATCAGGACAATAAAAATATAAAATGAATGAATATGATGAATAGCAAAACAAGAAGATATAAAGTAGCAGGTTTAAGGATCATGCAAATACTGGGCGGTCTTAAAGTTTAAGGCTCTCATTACCACAATTTATTAAGAAGAGCTGCATAACAACGTTTATTAATTAAGTAAAAAAAGTCAACATCATTGGAAACCATTTTTTCATTATTCTTGACTAAAAATAATATAATACAATGTTAGTCAAAAAATATATAAAAAATACCTAGTTAGGTTTTATGTTGCTTTAGTTTTGATATCTTAAGAACTATTTTAAAAACATAGTTAAATTTTTTTTTTTTAAGTTATTGATTATAATTTTTTTTTTACAATCAGCTTATTTTTAAAAATGTGTGAATAATGTTTTCTTTGTACTCTTTATTTTACTTTTTTACTTGTTATATAATAAAGTTGAAAGTGTTTAAAAAATTATTTTTTTTTCATTAAGTTTCAAAATTTAGTGAATAATAAGTTATTATTTTCTTTTAAGTCAGATGTTCACATGCGAGAAATCATGCAGTTAGCACATAAATTCTTGCAAAGCTTCTGTTTTGGAAATTCTCAAAATCAAACTTTGATGCATAAATATTTAGATACTTTCTTATCATCAGGGCTGGGGGTATTTCTTGAATTTTTTATTGATTGTTTAAATTTTTTTTTATTTAGAATATTATATATATTTATTTATATAAATATATATATATATATTTATTTATATAAATATATATATATATATATATATATATATATATATATATATATATATATATATATATATATATATATATGTATATATATATATATATATATATATATATATATATATATATATATATATATATATATATATATATATATATATTTATATATATATATTTATAAAAACCATTCTTTACAAGCGTTTTTTTTAGATCCTTGAAGCTGAGACTGTGCGTTATATATTCCATGAAAATTTAATTCTATGCAATGAAGTTAATGAAAGAGTTATTCAACAAGTTGTTCATAGTATTGAACAGCATGGAAGACATGTTGCGTATTTGAGATTACTGCAGACACTGCTAAAAGCTGAAAATCAGTTAATCAGAAAAACTCAAGACATAGTTATGTCTGAGGTAAAAAAAAAATATTTTACAATTATTATTTTTTATTTTGTTTCATGATTTCTACATATTTTCATTTTATTTAATATTTGTAATTTTTATTAATTATTGATTTTGGTTAGCTGTTTTTTAGTCTTAAAGTTAAAATTTGTATTTTTTATCTTTTTAAAAAAAAGCTTTCTAGCATGGGTGAAGATATCTTGGTGTTTTACAATGATCATTCTTCGTTTGCAGCGCTTTTGGAAATGATGCAAAGCGAAAGAGAACGTGCTGATGAATCTAGCCCTCTTTTGTACCACATCAATCTTGTCAAATTATTGGCAAGCTGTACCGAGGGCAAGAATGTCTATACAGAAATAAAGTGTCACAGTCTTTTGCCTTTAGATGACATAGTTCGCATTGTAACTCATCCAGATTGTGTACCAGAGGTATTGTTAATTTTTAGATATAGAAATGTTTTTTTTAGTGTGTATGTGTTTATTTAGAGATTTATCTCAATTTTTTTAGGTTAAACATTCTTACGTAAATTTCTTAAATCATTGCTATGTTGACACAGAGGTTGAAATGAAAGAAATATACAGTAGTAGTCACATGTGGAAACTTTTTGAGGATTTTATGGTGGATATTGGAAAGGTAGAGTATAATTAAATCTTCCTAATAAAATGAGTTTTGATACAAATATTAAATTTATAATATAACCTTGCAATGTACTTTACTTTTATAATTACCAATCTGTAAAGGTGTTGATAATATCTAGTAAACCATGTCTAGGAATTGAGCAGTCAGCAAATTTTATAGGTTGTTGTAGTAAACTGATTACAACAACTTTTTTATAGTTATTTGTGATAATAAGTTTATTTAAAATTTTTCAGTTTAAGAATTTATTTAAATTTATCTATTATTAAAAAAAAAATTCGTTTGGTAGAATTTTAAAAGGCTTTATTAAATTTTTATTACAATTTTTACATATTTATTTTGGGAGGATTTGTTATTTTAAAATTTTTTTTATTGAAAATTTGTTTATTCAAATTTATTTATTATTTTTAAAAATTTATTCAGGTAGAATTTTAAAAGGTTTTATAAGAGAAGAAAAAAAAAATAGGTTTTAAAAAAATTTGACATTTTAAAAAGTAAACTTGCACACATAAAAAATAAATTTTATTTTCGTAAATAGTAGTAATAGTAGTAGTATATATTTGTTACAACAAAAGTAAAAACAATAGACCAAATACAAATCATAGATTGTCAGATTACAGTTAGTTTTTGTGAAGCTCATATTGCAATTTTCACTAAGGAAAGCTGCAAGCTGTAGTAGCATTAGAGCTTATTGAGGCTCGCTTTAAAGCTGTTGACAGTTGGAGAATCGATTACTTTATCTGGTTGCATGTTCCATGCATTGACAATGATTGTTAAAAAAGTGGAAGCAAGTTAAATGGTTGCTGTACTTTTCGCGGTGAAGTCTTTCTCTGTGATTTGCTCTTAGTGGGATTGTGATTAGGGGAAAGTGCCAGTTGACTATGTCAATGTTATTAATAATTTTGTATTTTTTGATGAGGTCACTTTGTTTATGACATTCAACTAGAGTTGATAGGCCAAGTTGTAAACATCTGGACTTGTAGTCTAACTTTTTCAGTTTGTCTGGTATTTTTGTGGCTCTGCGCTTTATTAGCTCAATAGTTTGTTCATTCTTCACAAAATGATTGTTTGATTTTTGGATGCTGCATGATTGCCTTCTTAACTAGTTTCTCCATTATTTTACATGGAATCGAGGTGAGAGATATTGGTCTGTAGTTTGATGGGTCGATTCTGGAGCCCTTCTTAAATAAAGGTGTTACATTTGCTTTGGACCATGAGTTTGGAATTTCATCATTGTAAAATGACTTTTGAAAGATAAGAGTAAGTGGAGTAGACATTGAGGTAGAACAAGTGTAAAATGCGAGGACCGACATTGTCTACGCCAAATACATAGAGTATATCTACACCAAATACATAGAGTTTATAAATTTGAATGTTTAATTAATGTAAAATTAATTAAACATTCAAATTTTTTTAAATTTATATTTTTATTTTATACTTTATTATAATTTTTTTTTTATTTCTTGTTTTTTTCCTTTATAATTAATAAATAAATTTGATAAAAATTATTCAATTTAAATTTTTTTAGTATCGTTGATAATAATTATATCATAAATATTTATATTTGCTGTTATTAATTGTTAAAAATTATTGTTAATGCTAAAATTAAATGAATCAAGTTTTAAATTTGTCAGGTTGTAAATACAACTCATGACCGTAAACATGCTGATAGCCTATTAGAAAGTTATGTAACAGATATTGTTCCAGAAATTATAACAGTTTTCTTCAATTCACCTTTCTCTGAGTCAGCTACAACAATTAAAGTAAGTTCTGTTTGTTTTATTGCATTAATTATGTATTAACTGTGTAATTATGTATGAATTATTGTAATTTTACTATGGGTATAATGAATTATTGTAAATGTATTATAAATATATAAAACTTTTAAGCATATAGAATGTGCAGAATAATTATAATTAAAGACAATAAACTATATAAAATGTATTTTAAAAAATTTTAAATATAAAACTCAATTGAGAAAAACTTATATATGAAACAATAAGAATTTATAAAAGTAAATTTTTTATTCTGAATAGTTTACATTTATTTATTTTTTATTCAAAATTATCACTTCTCTAAAAGTTTTGCTCTAGTTTGTTTTAATTATATATAAAAATTAATTTCATCATATTAACATACAAGCATGCTTGAAAGTTATTAAATTGGATTAAAAAATTGTTAGATTTTATAATAAAAGTACAAATAAAATACTTCAAAAATATAATTCTAAAAACATTTTAACACTTAACAAATTATTTAACTTTTATTTATGCTTTAATTTTATATTCAAATTCAATTTAAGCTTTTAATTTTAACTGTCTTTAATTTATATAATTATATTAATTGTTATATTCACCTATGCTCTCAATAAAAGTGAACACAATAATAGCAGGGAAATATGAATGCCCAATTTAAATTCAAAATTAAATGTAGTTTCAGTAATACCAATATTTGATTTTTCTTATTATTTTTTATATATTTAGATAACTAACTTTTTGTATTTTTTTAAATTCTATTTCAAGTCGCATCAATCTGTTTTTCTCCATTTACTTTCTTCTCTCTATCGACTCTCATTATGCTCATGGTTGTCAGGTCAACAAAAGTATCAAATGGAAAATTGTTTGAGAAATCTTATTGAAATAGGTATGATTTAAAATAACTAATTTTTGACTGGAAACTAGATGTAAGCCTCTGACATGTCTTGTTCAGCATTGTAACAATATTTTCTATTGTGTTAAAATTAAATTTGCTTTTCTTTAACAGCTAAGCCTCGTGGAATTGCAATCCCAACAGATTTAGAGTCGGAAATTCTTAATTTAGTCAGCAGATCTAAACTTTTAATGAAGCATTCACGACAGTGGTTAAGTCATCGACAACGCAAAGACTCAACTGCAGTACTGATGTCTAAAGATTATCGAAACATTATAGAAGGGCTGCATGTAACAAAATTACTTTTTTTTCAAATTTTGAACAAAAAATTATCAAGGTATTTTTAAAATTAAGATTTTGTGATTTTTATCAAGGATATTGTTGCATTATTGGAAGATCAGCTGCGCCCACTTGTAGAAGCAGAGTCATCATTACTAGTTGATGTTTTATATTTCCCTCATCTCCTATTTGCCCCAGGATCAGAAAATAGAACAAAAGCTGATGATGGTGGGTTTCTTTCAAAGTAAGTTTATTATATTTTACAATCTAGCCATATGGTATTGATTGTGTGTATGTGTGTCTTTATAAGCTAAAACATTCTTAATTAAAAAAAAAAAAAAAATTTAATAATTGCCATTTGTTATTTTTTTAAAAAAAGATTCCTCATTTTTTTATATCGCTTTTTATTTGACAACTAAGTACACTAAAGTATTTTACTTGACAATTTGAGTAAAATAAAGTGTACTTAAATTGTCAAGCTTATATAACAAAATGTAACAATTTTTTTTTCTCTGTTTATTGAATTTTTTGATGTTTGTTAATCTAAAGTCTAAGTCTGAATATGATAGTTTTTTTTATTGCATCAATTGCTTGTTCATAAAACCAAAAAAATCAATTATCAATTAAAAAGAATTCTCTATTGAAAATGTTCTCCATACTCATCACATCACTCAAGTTTGGTCTAGAAAATTCCAATATGGAATGCAGATAGTGCAGCTTATTTTATTATTATTATTTTATTATTATTATTTTCCACAACTGTTTGTAATTCTCATTATGCCTTGTTTTCAACAGCAGTCATATTGTCCTCCAGCTTCTTACCTGCCAACATAACTTTGATCTGTAAACCAACATATATACCTGCTGAAAATTTCTCATCTGGCACCTATAGAAACATTTTGTTTTTGAAAAGCAAATTGTTTGAAAAACATAGTTTAATGTGATAGAATGGTAGTAAGATCTTCTCAACAGTTAACAGGGATAGATTAATAACATAGTCATGATGTCAGAAGTTCTGCGTTTGATGTAATGAGACCTAAATCTTGTACTAAATCATTAAATTCATGTTGGTTAGGGAAATGAGCTGAAGTCATCACTGAGTTTATCCAGTGTGTTGTTCATGTTTATGTTATACGGTTTTTGAAAATGGTGTAATAGTTGATGTTTCTAAATAGCGAATGAGATAAAAACGCATCATTTTGTTTTCAAATGATTTTGGATTCTTTGCAGCCATCCTTCCAGAGTTAATTTGTACAATTTTTTCTGATCTCCCATAGTCATGCCAAAATAAGTATGGTATGCAGTAAATAATTTACAATTTCAAGTCAAGTCTTAATTTTTCTCCATGGTTTTTCTCTCATTGTGCTGCTGCAATTTCTAATCCTATCCATTACTTCCATATCTATCACCAAAACAATTCTCCAGAAAACAAACCTCTGTTTACTATTGCTAGAAACCATTATTAAATGGTTTCATCTAAGGCCAAAGTCCACTCTTCACAGGTCACAAAATCTCGTATTTCATCTCAAAAATTAGGCTCCAGAGACTTCTGGAAATTCTTCAACAGTGTCTATAATAAGGGCAAATCTGTTATTCCTTCTCTTGCATGGTTCAGATTTTGTTACCTCACGTAAAGACAAATCTGAATTGTTTCAGCTTGTTTTACCATACCTAAAGACAAAGCTGAGTTGTTTCAAGCCTAATATCAGGCTTGTTGGAGGAATGTTGTGCGTTCGAGCGCTATTGCTGACTTTGCAGATGATTTTTTTTTTTTGACAACTTGACCATGATTTTTATATGTTTTAATGATTTAAACATTTCAGAAATGCGCTGAAAATAAAAACGCTAAGCTATACTTTATCAAGGAAAAAAATTTAAAAAAAACAAAAACTAAAGAACAACTTCTTACAAAAAAGAAAAAAATTAAAGCACTGAAATAAAAACTCAAACTCGAGTACGTTTTTAATTGTGTTTGAAATTAATGTTGTTAAAACTTATATTTTTAAACATTTTATTAAAGTTACGCAAAAAGCTTTTAAATCAAGTAGCAAATTACTACTTGTTTAATAAATAAAGTTGATGATTGTTTAATGAATGATTGTTTAACAAATGAACACCTTTTATCAAATTTATTAAAAAGTGTTTTATATAATATTTTTAATATTGTTTAAGCATTTAGTTTTTCAAAAAAATTACAAAACGAAATAGTTTAAAAAAATAACATAGTCTTTTTAAAATAGTAATTTTTAATAATTTCATGCTTTAATTAGTAAGTCAAGTTAAAAAAAGGTTTTAAACTTTTTTATTTGTAAAAATAGTAAAAAAATTTTTAAAGATTTTAACTTTTTTGTTAATTCATTCCTATCTTATTAAATAAAAGATTTGTTTAGAAGATTTAAAAAAATCGTAAGTTTAATTATAAAAATTAATTGTATGAATATTACAAAATACTTTGAAACTTTTCCATTAATCAACAAAATACATGCTTATATAAGTAAATAGTAATAGTGTATAAGTGAATGTATTTTAAATTCATATAAAATGTTCCCACACGGGTTCTAAGCAAGTAGTCACAAAAAGTTTTAAACTAGTCATAAATTAAAGTAACTTCATTAAATTCTTTCAAAAAAAAATTGTTTTAAAAGATTTTTAGGAAGACATGGAAAAATAGTTTCAAATGTTTAAATTTATCATAAAAAATACTTGCTTAAAAAATTATATTTAATTATAAATTATATTTAACATTTTTTATTAATTTACAAAAATGCGACGATTTAAACAATCGTTATAATTAATTTTTATGTTTTTATTTAAAGCCTTCGCGTAAAATAAAAACTTAGAAAAGATCAACAATTGAAAGTTATTGATAACACTTTTTTATTGCATTTAAATTGTAAAAACATCAAAATAGCCCTAGTCAAGTTGTAAAGAAAAAAAACTATAAGCGTGGTCAAATACAGAGTGTGAATGCACGTCATTCCTGTCCAAGCCTGATATATATATATATATATATATATATATATATATATATATATATATATATATATATATCCGGCCTTGCGATAAAGCGTCGGGCGATGTGAATTTTACGTCATCAGAGAGCAATTTTGCGTATAGTTAGGGCTATTTACGTCGAGCAAAAAAATTTTTGTTTGAGTTTATTTAAAGATATTTTTGAGCGGAATTTTAATGAAGTAATTTACGCTTATTTTAATAATTAATAAAGTATTTTAAAAACTGCACGCAGTTGATATAAAAGTTTGAATTACAAAAAAATTAAATATGCTCATTATTTACAAGTAGAAAAAATTTAGATTAAAAAAAAAGTTGAAATCTTTTTAAGCTAACATTTTAATAAAATTATTTAGCAATAGCAAAGTTGTCGATAAAATTGAACAAAAATACTTTTGTTTAGTTTTAGATTTTTAACTTAAATAATTATTTTACGAGGTTTTGTTAGGTTTAAAAGTTATTCCATAGATTTAAAAATATTTATTAACTGTTTGATGTATTTAAAGTATTTAAGAGTAATTTCGAGGAAACATTTTAAAAATTGGTAAGCGCAAATAAAAAATATTTTATTTGCGCAAAGATTTTTATTCTAACATTTTATTTTATTTTATTTATAAAATTCCTTGTAAACATTAAAAATCTATTCAAAAAGTTCGTTAAAGTTTTTTAGTAATACGAGTGATTGTACTTATCAACCGCTTTATGAAAATAAATAAAAATAAATAAATAAAAAATTATTATATAAAATCGCTCGTAAAAATATTAGCTATTGCACAGTTTTTAATCGAAAAATATTAAAATTTCCAGTTTATTACTCGCTGACTTTTTAAAAAGAAAAAATAATTATTTGAAAAACTTTAAATTACATATTTGAGAAGAAAAAAAATTCAAATATTAGCATTTATAATCTTTTTTAAATGTTTAGTTATAATGTTTTTTATTTGTTTAGTATAGACAAAACGTTTCAAACGTCGAGAAAATAAACAAATGTTTTTACATTTTAAAAAACAAAACATTCCAAAACATTTTTAAATAATAACATTTCTACATTAATGATTTAAAGTAGTTTTGCAGTAATTAAGTAAATTGGTGCAGTTAATGTCGATAAATATGAAAAGCAAATAAAAAGAATTTAATGACGTCAAAAATCATGTCATGTTTATGCGTCGCGCAGTTTTTATTCATCACATGGCCTGATATATATATATATATATATATATATATATATATATATATATATATATATATATATATATATATATATATATATATATATGTATATATTGCTGAAGAGTACTGCACTGCTAAAGAATGTATGACTAGGAAGTTCACGCCTCTTTCCTTCCTATTCCAGCGTCGCTTATTGAGCCATAGCTGGCGTCAAACCTCAATTCTCTTGGTTTTGAGCCAAAATTGTAACCATTGCGCCACAGCTGCAATAAATATTTATTTGATGTAGATATAGATGATTCTCCTATTTGAGTTCTTTTAGTATTCTTTTTATTATAGTTCTACTTGTTAGCTTTCTTTTAGCAACTTTTGACGTTTTTAATAAATAAAATTTAATTAAAGATTAACTGATTTGAAGATATCAGTGAAAATGCTTAGTTTGTTAAATTATATTTGATTCGAAGGTGTTTTAAGTATTCAAAGATTCTAACTTTCATTGAAGTATTAGAAGTTTTACATTTATATTCAGTTCAAAATAAAAGTCCTAGTTAAGTGAAGTTTTTTGTTAAAGGGAATCCAAAAAATAATACAAGATTGCAAGCGGTCCGATTTAATCAAGGTATGACTTAAGAGGATTATTTTATAGTAAGTTGATAGAGAAAGTTAAAGGGAAATTAAAAATATGTCCTATTTAGTAAAAGTTTGACTTATCCAGGGTTCAAGTTAACAAGATTCTACTGTATATATATATATATATATATATATATATATATATATATATATATATATATATATATATATATATATATATATACATACATACATATATATACATATATACTTTTATATATATATATATATATATGTATATATATATATATATATATATATATATATATATATATATATATATATATATATATATATATATATATATATATATATATATATATATATATATATATATATATATATATATATATATATATATATATATATATATATATATATATATATATATATATATATATATATATATATAGATATATATATAGATATATATATAGATATATATATAGATATAGATATATATAATACTATAGTTTTTTAGTCTTTTCAAATGAGATTGATTGTGAACTTCAAATGGTTTGTCATTATCAAAACTTTATAAAAACCTTTTCAAAATACTTTTTTAAATATTTTGAAAATAAAATTTGCTAAAGAAAGATAAATTGCAAAATTTGATAATATTTGTAAATTTAATAACATTTATAAATTTAGATTGATTTACCATGCTAGTTTGCTTATGGTTGACAATGAGGCGTTGTGCATAAAAATTCTTAGAGTTTTGCAGCAAATGCTACAAAAAGAAGTTCATTTTGGTGAAAAGGTTTTTAATCTTTGTTTATTTAAATTCATACAATTTTTTTAAAAAATTAATGTATAATAGTATTTAGGTTTCAAATTTTATAAAAAGGTTACAAAATTATCTGCTTATAACAAGGCTGTTGTTAGAGATTTCTGAAAAAAAGTTTTTATTTTAGTTTTGACACAGGCAAAACATTTTCAAAAAAGTAATTCTAAGCTTATTTTGAATTAAATTATTTTTTTGTTTTTTATTATATGCAGACCATGTTAAGATACCTTTTGCAGCTCCCATTTTACCTGCAAAATAGCAATTTGCATACTCGTTTAGCAGTTTTATGCTAAGCAAAAACTTTTTTATCTTGGAAAATTTAAAATTGTGTTTTAATATAGTTTATGTAACGTTTATTCAGAATATATTAGATCATAAAAAGGTTTTACCTTAAGAGCGCAAAAATGATATTAGGATATTTCAACCTAACATATGAATTGAGCATAGTGTATGTATATATATATATATATATATATATATATATATATATATATATATATATATATATATATATATATATATATATATATATATATATATATATATATATATATATATCGAGGCATGAATTAAGTGATAGCAAAATGTAATACCTGAAAATATTTCTGGTCCAAATTCTTAGTTATTTAAAAATGTGAATACTGTTTTAATGAAATTTATCAAATTTCAAAAATTAAAAAAAAAACAAAATCAAAACAATAAATTTACTGCTGCAAAAATAATATTAGTCAAAACTTACTGATTAAACACCAGGTAATTTAAGCATTATAAATAAAAAAATAAGTAATATGAAAAAAATAATGGTTACTAAATGTCTGAAAAATTTGTACGATAATTTAAAAATCAACTAATGAAATACTAAAGTTATCCTTTTTTTTTTTTTTTTTTTTGTTAATTCACCTCCTCAAGGCAGAGAAGGCCACTACAGACGAGGAGGCTACTTATTTGTGTTTATAACCCTCTCTCAACTCTATAACTCCAAAATACGAACCTTGACGAACAAGGCCAGTGCGCGGAGAATCGTGTTGAGCACAGTACTACCAGGGACATGGTGGGGATCGAACTCAGAACCTCTTGCTTATTAAACAAGCGCTCTACCACTACACCACTACCGCAAGTATACTAAAGCAATTTTAATGTTTTATCATTTTTAATGCTTCATACAATGCGCAATTATTTTTTATAGATAATAATAATAAAATTAGTATTAATAGTAATAATACGGTTTTATAATGAGATTATATAATATAATTTTAAAATGAACGTAAATATTTTTTATTGAGTAACAACTATTAGGTTTAGTGATAAAAATAGAGTTTACGGTTTTTATAAAACTAAACATTTAAAGACCAGAAGCATTATATATATATATATATATATATATATATATATATATATATATATATATATATATATATATATATATATATATATATTGAAGATGTGCCGGAACCAGTTTATGCAGAGTCTCCAATTCCGGGTACCCGGCTGAAAAAACTGGGTCTGAGTCCGGGTACTCGGCATCGAGTCCATTTTTTAAAAGTTGGAATAAAAACTTGTGAAATCTCTAGCGCTGAACTATTCACACAAAATACGCTTTTTACGCTAACTAACCAAAAGTTATGTGGCGGAAGTACCATTTAGCAAAACCCCGCAATGCAGGGTAAGGGGCCTGAGTTGTAGGGCCTAACTTTTTTCAAAAGTTGTGCAACAATTTTTTAATAACTATATTTAGTTTAAAATTATTTTTCTTTCCTGGTGGAGCGGGTCTAAATAATATTTTGTGGGGAAGGGGGCCAAATTTGAAGTTCTGCCATTGAAAGTTATATTATGGAAAGCAAAAGATTAAGAAATATAAAGAATTGCAAAAAAAGGTTTCTCCACTGTAGAGTGATTAAAATAAAACAAATTTAAACAAATAAAAAGAACTTAAACAACACTTATTTGCTGTATCTTATATTAATTGTTTTATTAATTTTAGATTGTAATGCAAAAACATTAGGTATTCTCCGTTATCTGCTTTTAGTCTGCTCCTTGTTGCTTCGTATATGTCCCCACCAACACTAAATAACCTTTCACTTTCTATTGATGACGGAGGCGCTGTAAGATATTTTAATGCCATCTTTTTTAGTTTTTCAAATTGCATTCCACATTTAATGGTTAAAGTTTAAACTAAAGGAAAAATAAATTTGAAGATACCCAGTGCCGGGTACTGCAACAAAATGGCCGATACCGGGTACCTGGCAAAACAGCCGATTTGCAAGGTCCCCGGGTCCCGGTTACTATTATTATTATTATTATTATTATTATTATATATATATATATATATATAATAATAATAATAATAATAATAATAATAATAATAATAATAGTAATAATAATAGTAATAATAATAATGATGATAATAATAATAATAATAATAATAATGATATTTTTTCCATATTTTTTATCTATTTTCTATGAAGTTTTTTTTCTCCAAAATGGGGGCTCCTCTCCCTCTTTATTTAGTGAGTAATCTTATAATTAATATAACAGTAAGGTTTAGTAATATTTTTGTCTTCATTTTATATTTTTAATGTAGTTTTCTTGTTGAATATCTATTAATAGAACTCTGCCAACATATTTCTACATTTTAGGGGTATATAAAAATAAATAAATACATTTATTTTTATATACCCCTAAAATGTAGAAATATGTTGATATAGAATATTTATTTAATATAAACAATTTTTTTTTATTTTGTTTGTACTATAATAATGTTAAATATTTAATATTAAATGCTTATGAATATACAGGGAGAAAGACTTCGGAAAAATCTGCTAAAGTTGTACTTTAAATCTGATCCTGCTTTACTTGCTTCTGGTGAAAACAATGCTGCTGCTAAGCAACATGGGGTTGTTTTTTTAACTCGAGCTAATAGAAGTTTGTATGATATGCAATGCCAAATGGATTATATTGGTGGAACTGATCTTATTATTAATATTATAATGGCAGGTCCAACAAATAGCGTATTTTATGACTGTATACAATTAGCAATATGTTTGTTAGAGGGTGGAAATGGTACTGTTCAGGTATTTTATATATATATATATATATATATATATATATATATATATATATATATATATATATATATATATATATATATATATATATATATATATATATATATATATATACTATATATATATATATATATATATATATATATATATATATATATATATATATATATATATATATATATATATATATATATATATATATATATATATATATATATATATATATATATATATATATATATATATATATATATATATACATATATATATATAAGTTTTTTTTTTGAAAATCCTTTGTATATATTCCTAAATTGTAGTTCATATTTTAGTTTTTCATGTTATATTTGTTTTTTTTACAATTTTAAAAAATATTTTTATTACAGCAATCTTTTTTAAGAAGATTTGTAACATCAAAAACTGAGGCCTTTTTTCGAAGTATATATGAACAAATCACAGATGCTAAAGAAGAGATTCGTTCTACAATCACAGTAAATACAGATGCTGCTTTAAGAAAAAAAGAAGAAGATAAAGAAAATGAAAAAGTTAGAGATCCATTATCTAGAAGAGCAACAGCTAATTTTGGAAATTCTAGAGATTCCCATGTTCTTGGTTTGTATTATAGATTAATTTAAAAAAGAGCAATACTTTCTGTTTCTTAAAATAAAATAATTCAAAGTAAATATTAAGTTTAAAATTGTTTAGGGAAGTTATATAATTTTATAAATATTTTTCAAAATTTTTCATACAAATATTGTGAAATATTAAAACAATAGATAGATAAACAATATTATAAACAAAAACAGATTTTTTTAAAACCTGTCAGCACATTTTTTTAAAATACTTTACTAGTTAAACTCTTTTCAAAAGTTTTTAAGTTTTTTGTTTTCAGAAAATTTGATCAAAATTTGCTTAGCTACACAAATTCAAATGTGTCAATATATAGCATCTAAGTTCAAATAAATAGCAAAAAAATGAATTAGCAAACAAAAAAATTTGCAGTATTCTTCTTTCCTCTATATTCCCCGTTACTTCATTGTTGTTATTATTATTGTTATCATTATTATTGTTTTTTCATTACATTACTCAATCCTAATCCTAGATTTAATTCTTTTACCCTTTTAATTCTATATCATCATAAATAATAAGAAAATCTTTTACCTATAATTCTATAAGATCATAAAGTAGTAAGATAATATTTTACCCATAATTCTATATGATCATAAAGTAATAAGATAATATTTTAGGAATGTCAGTTTCACTTAGTGAAGATGTTAAAGAACAGCTTGCCGAGGCAGCCAGTCAGACAAATAAAGCATTTAGTGTTGTTCGTAAAGGTCGAGAGGGTGATGCTGTTGAAGGCAGAGGCTATAATGATTCAGTCAAATCATCTGCAAATCCACAATTCCTCTCTAATGATATCTATATTATTCAACCTATATTCAGATTTTTACAATTATTGTGTGAAAATCACAATGCTGATATGCAGGTAAAAAAAAGTATATAAAAAAACAATAAGTTTAATTAGTATATTTTTGAAGCTTTGTTTACTTTAAAATATTTTTATTTATTACTTTAGAATTATTTGCGTAAGCAAGAAAATAAAACTAACCACAATCTTATTCTTGAAACATTATCTTTTCTTGATTGCATTTGTGGAAGTACAACAGGAGGTCTAGGGCTGCTTGGACTTTACATTAATGAGCAGAACGTAGCTTTGATTAACCAATGTTTATGTACACTAACAGAGTATTGTCAAGGACCATGCCATCTCAATCAGGTTTGGTTATAAATGCTTAATTTTTATCTGTATGATAATGTGAAAAATTAATTTTAGTGTTAAACTTCAAAGAATATTTCAAAAGCTATTTAAGGTTTAAATATTTTCCTAAAAAAAAAACTAAAAGAAATGTTTTAAGCTGTTAGATTTTTGTTTATGTTTATTTAAATAAATTTTTTAAGGATTCTATTGTCAGCCATGAGAGCAATGGAATTGACATTATTATTCAACTGATTGTGAATGACATAAATCCCTTAAGCAAACATAGAATGGATTTGGTCATGGAACTAAAAGTAAATTTTTGTTGTTACTGTTGTTGTTGTTATAGCCACATTTTAATTAATTTTTTGTTAATTATTTTTCATAATTAAATTTATACATATTTGTATAGCATTATGCATATGCCTATACATATATATTTATATGGATTGTTTACATATTTATGCATATATATATATATATATATATATATATATATATATATATATATATATATATATATATATATATATATATATATATATATATATATATAAATTAGGAGAAAATCACTTAGCAAAATTTTTTCTCATTTAAAACTGTGTTTCATCAAAACACTGTGTTAAATGAGAATTTAACACTGTGTTTCATCAAAGACTCATCAGAAATGAATGATCAAATTAATAAAACTTCAATTTATACCAAAAATTAAATTACAGGAAGTCACATGTCTTAACTACTGCAATTTTTCACACATTTGTGTAATTTGCTGACACTATTGTATAAAGAATTCTTTAGAAATGATTACTTAAGCTTTTTTAAAAAATAATATATTTTTTTCAAAGGGGAGTTAATGTAACTATTATTTGAGCTCACTTATTTTTATAGTTTTTTAGGAGAAACTTATTTTCGTGCCTGCATTTAGAAATCAATTCCGATTTTTTGTTTAATAAACATTCTTGGTTTGTATGTGTAATTATTTCAAATTTTTTTTGTAGACATAGTATGCATTTTTTGGAAATATTGTTATATGCAGGCACTGTTTTAAGGATGGACCAATTCAGTGTAAAATCATCAATGTTTTTATCTTTTAATTCCTATATATACTTTGACAGCATGGTTTCTTTTGAATACTTCTTATTTTTAAAAGATTGCTTATGATTGGCAATACGTTTTTTCCATTCACCTTCTGTTATGCCAATATATTGTTTATCAGGTACATTCTTAGAGGAGACAACACATTTATATACCACATTTTTTGATAAGCAACTTACACTCATTGGACAATTGTTTTTTTGTTTACAATTACAATTTTCTGTAGTCTTTATTGATGAAACAGTGTTAAATGAGAAAAAATTTTGCTAAGTGATTTTCTACTAATTTGTAATTGCTCTGTTCTTTTAAGAACATTCAGAACTCTTTTTGTAGAATACATTTTAAATTGTTTAAATATATATATATATATATATATATATATATATATATATATATATATATATATATATATATATATATATATATATGTATATATATATATATATATTTATATGGATTGTTTACATATTTATGCATATATATATATATATATATATATATATATATATATATATATATATATATAGTAGTTGTCAAATAAACACTGCATGTAAAATATTTATTTCTTTTACTGTTACTATTAAGTAATTTTAATAAAGATAAAATAAATTTAAATTTAATATTTTTTAACACTAGAGGCCTTTCAAAAAATCATCAGTAGTGTTATTTTTGTTATCAAAATAATATTTTCCTGTTTTGAAACAAGATCCATTGTTTAATCTTGATAACTACTATAATCATTTTTTTATTTGATTTTAAACAGCAAATGTCAATTAAAAGTGTCATATTTTTGTTTGTAGAGACGTTTTTCATAGGAAATTAAATTCTTTTCATTTTTGGGTTCCAAAATAAAATTTGGAAGAAAGGTTTTATAATTGTATTATATGTATGTTGGCAATCATAAACATGGTTATCAAATCTATCTGTTTATTGTCCAGTTCTTCAACTAGAATTATGTCCATTTGAACCAAATTTTAAGTTATTAGTTTTTCTAGCGTATGCAGTTTTCTTATTGCAAGATAAACATTTTAAATTTTATATTACATTTTTATTATTGAAAGTTATATGGCATGGAATCTTTTATTCCCTCTCAACGATTCCAGGTCAAGCCTCTTCTACAGCTTGTGGCTCGGACAACATACCTGTTATAGTCTTGCAGAAGTGTTCTCCAGAGCTGTCGTCTATTCTATCAAAACTATTCAATAAGTGTTTATCAGAGTCTTGTTTTCCAGCCTGCTAGAAAGCAGCATCTGTTATCCCTATTTTTAAAAATTCTGGAGAGCATTCTGATTCCTTTAACTACTGTCCCATTAGTCTTCTTCCTATCATAAGCAATGTTTTTGAATCTTTAATTAACAAGCACTTAATCTCTCATCTTAAATCTAATAACTTATTTTCTGATCATTAATATGGAATTTGCTCTTCTTGTTCTGCAGCTGATTTGCTAACAGTAATTACCAACAGGTTTTATTGTGCTTTTTATAAAGGTGCAAAGGTTAAGGCCATTGCTCTTGACATTTCTAAAGCGTTTGATAAAGTTTGGCATGCTGGTCTTCTCCATAAGCTTTCTTCTTATGGTGCATCTGGAAACATCTTTAAGATTATTTAATCCTTCTTTTCCAATCGTAATATAAAAGTTGTCCTTGATGGACAGCACTCTTCTTCTTATTCTGTAACCTCAGAGGCTCCTCAAGGTTCAATCCTTGGCCCTATACTCTTTTTAATTTACATTAACGATCTTCTAGATATTCTCACATCTAAGGTGGCATTGTTGGCTGATGATACTACCATTTATTCTTGTCATTATAAGAAACCAACACTCTCTGGTTGCTTGGAGGGGGCATTTGAGCTTGAAAATGATCTTCTGCTACAGCATGGGACTCACAGTGGCTGGTGAACTTTAGCTCAGATAAAAAAAATTTTTAGCCAATTGTTATCGCAATAATTTAGACCTTCCTATATTTAAGAATAGTAATGTACTCCATGAGTCATCTACCCTTCATCTTCTAGGATTAACTCTTACATCTGATCTTTCTTGGAAACCATATATCAAATCCGTTGCAAAATTAGCATCTGCTAAAGTTGCATCTATTTATTGAGCTTGACACTTTCTTACTCTGGATTCTATTCTCTATCTCTATAAATCTCAAATCCAGCCTTGTATGGAATACTGTTGCCATATCTGGGGCCGATCTTCTAATGATGCCCTTTCTCTTTTAGACAAGGTGCAAAAACGCATTATAAGTATAGTTGGACATGCTTTTGCAGCCAACCTTCAACCATTATCAGATTGTCATAATGTTGCTTGTCTTTCTCTTTTCTACAAATACTATAATGGGTACTGCACTAAAGAGCTAGTGTCTCTTATGCCATCTACTAAAATTAATTCTTGTGTTACTTGTCATTCAATTAAGTCTCATCCTTTTTCTATGACTGTTTCTAAGTGCTCCAAAAACTCTTATTCGTCTAGTTTTTTTCCTTGAACATCAGTTCTTTGGAATTCGTTTCCTTCATTAATACTACATTGATGAATATTATTGTAGTATTAATGATCGTTTCCTTCAAAAATACTACATTGAAAAAAAATTTTAATTCAAAAATTTTTTTAATGTAGTATTAATTTATTACATAGAACACATTTAGAGGGTGCCATCAGACATTTTCATAAAATGTTGTTTTTAGAACCACCCTAATATATATATATATATATATATATATATATATATATATATATATATATATATATATATATATATATATATATATATATATATATATATTAGGGTGGTTCTAAAAACAACATTTTTTAAAAATGTTGTTTTTAGAACCACCGTCAAAACAAAATTTATAAATTATAAATATATATATATATTTATAATTTATAAATTTTGTTTTGACGATTTGACCGCGACTATCTCAAAAAACATTTCAAAAAGGTGTTGAATAAAAATATTCGTAATTATACCTTAGGTGAAATAAAGTACATCAAAACTTCTTAACAAACGTTTTTATATAAGCAAAACACTTTTAAATAAAGTAACAATTTACTGATAATGATTTTTTTTTAAAACTTGTTTAAAACGAATGGTCAAATCATCAAAACAAAGTATTTTTTGCATAGTCATATAATTGCCTGCGATCGCACATCTTCCTGTGAAACACTGATATGTATGTATATATATATATATATATATATATATATATATATATATATATATATATATATATATATATATATATATATATATATATATATATACATATATATATATATATATATATATATATATATATATATATATATATATATATATATATATACACTAAATTGTTTGTCAATTCGAGGTTATTTTTAAATCTAAAATACCTTACACTCTAAATTTGGGGCAAATAATAAAATAATAGCCTTCAAAAGATTTGAGCTCAATAGGACCACTCAAACCTTATCCCTTGAGCATTTTTTTAGAAAATAGTAAATAGTTCTCAAAAACAACCAATTTTACAAATCTTGAGGAATGGGGGGAAGGGTTAAATAATTTAAAAAAACTAAGATTTTTTTTTTCTATTTTTTTTATTTATGTTTATTTTTACCTATATATGCGAGTAAAATCACATGGTATTATAGTTCTTTTTAAAAATATGTTTTAAATTTTTCATTTTGAATTAAAAAAATAATAATAATTGATTATAGACTTAATGTATTTACCTAACTGACAAATTATAACTAGTTGCCCAGAATAATTTTTTTTTTTTTTGTGAATCAATAATGTAGATCTTCTATGAATTTAAGAAACTTCTTTTAACTGGGAATCTGATGAGATCCGGCTATAGAAGTCTAAAGAACAATTGAATAGTTTTTTGTAGCTAAGGTTGTCAGTTTCCAATAGGGATGGAGGTCCTGAAGCACATAACTTACTACCAATCATTTTTGCCAATAATAATACAAAAAAAACCACTAATCTTGCTTTTCCCCTTCAGAAATACTTTGAAAGATAATTAATGGAATGTAAATGTATTTTGGCTTAAATATATTAACCATGGATTTAAGTTGGATTTTTTATACTAAATGATCTGTTAAGTCTAGTAAAGAATTTTTCAAATTTGAATGAGTAGTTAAATCTTAAGAAACTTGAAAAGAGGATCTGCTGTAAATTTAGCACAATAAATAAATTTAAGTTTTACTTAAACAAAATAGTCTGACCTAGCGTTCCTGATCTGAGTGCCAAAAATGACAAAAGTGCAGACAAGCTTGAGGATTTAGAGTTTCTGAATGACCAGTAAGAGGGAAAAAGATTTATGCTTGGATCACATTAAGAAGTACAGAAAGTATTTATTTTTTGCTTTATCTTATGTATTTCGTATTAGCAAATTTTTTTGACTTTTTTAGGCAACAGAAAGTAGCAAAAAAAAGAAAGCTGTGAGTGAAACAGTTATATAAAAAATTAAGAGGTGCATCTAATTTTGAGATTAATAAAAATACTTGTGAAAACACCTTGTGTGATTCTGATTTTGGTCCTGGTGATCAGTTTAAAAGAGAACCTTTTTTACAAAAAGTCATTTCAAAAATTCCCATTGTTATTTTTGCTGGTAATGTAGCTCTTATGGCTACAATCAGTGATCAAGTGTTTTGCACAAAGTTACAGGTGCAACTTCAACTCAATCAAGAGTTGATCTGACAAATTTCAAATGCAGCTAGTCTGCAGCAGTTAGAAAAATGAAAAATGCTAATCATAATATAGCAAAAGAAAATATTCAACAAGTTTGAATGAATCCTTATATTCGTACATAGTGCATTTTGATGGCAAAACATTAATTGAACTATACAAAGGAAAAATAATTGCAATTTATAGACTGGCTGTTTTTTTAAAAATTTATGAAGACTAGTGTAATGGAACTTCTTAAAGAGTACAACCTTGAATTCAAAGTAGGAGGAATATGTTTTAATACTACTGCAAGTAACACTGAATTAATGAAAGGTTTTTTAATCAGAATATCCAATAGTATTAGCAAATATCTTTTACTTATTGCATACAGGCATCATGTATGTGAATTATGAATGGTTTATTTTTATAATTCAGTTTCAAATAAAAATTCCACAGCACCAAATAATCTTATGTTTAAAAATTTAAAAACTATTTTTGAAGATCTTATTAAATCTTTTAATTTTTGTCAAGAATACATTGCAAAGGTAAAAGAAAATAAAGATAGATAGCGAAATTAGAAATGAGATTGCAGAACTTGTTGTGAGTTACTTTTATCCATCTTCAGTAAAACTAAAAAATACCAGAGCAACTCATCATGCTAAGTTTCTATCCAAAGCACTGTAGTACCTAAAGGTTTTTTTGAACCAACCTGAATTTGTATCGTGTATCTAATCTTCAGGTTTGTTTTTCCCTAATAAAAATTTATTTATGTGACGACATTTGGAAATCAGCTTTGTTTTTTTATTCAGTTGCTCTTTGGCATTTTTATAAATTAAAATAATTAGTTTTTCATATAAATATTTTTTTTGTTGTATTGTTGTAAGCAGGGGCTCTTTTTAGGATAGACCAAATTAATTCAGGTGTTTCTTTGAGTTTTTCTGTGTGGTTGTGTGGTTGCATTTGAAAATTTTTAATTTTTTAATGATTGCTTATGATTCGCACATCTTTTTTCCATATACCCTCTGATAAACTAATGTATGCTTTGCTGGGTGTGTTTGGAGAAGATGGTGTGCATTTGTAAATTAATTTTTTTGCTCTAAAATAATTATTCATCATAGATTTCTTGTGGAAATTTTCAGTTGTGCTTTTGGAATTTATTTTTTTGTTGTGATTTTTGAAATGTTGTTTGAGAAGCTGTAGCTAACTTTAGTGTTTTAATTGAAAAGTTTATGCAATGGGTTTAAAGGTAGGAAATGCTTATCTATTAATTGCAAAAAGATTTGGCCAACATTGGTAGAGATGCTTTTATTGTAAGTTGTCTTTAAAACCAAATTATATTTCTTTTACTTTTAGAGAGGGAGGGGGTCTTGTTTTTTAAGTTGTACTTAAAGTTAAAGTTTGAAAAGTTAAAGTTAAACTTGAAAATAAAACTATGCAATTTTCACAAGTTTAAGTTGACTATAGCAACTGATTTTCACAAGTTTAAGTTTCACAATAATTAATTTTCACAAGTTTAATTAATTTTCACAAGTTTAAGTTGCTATAGCAACTGATAGTTGCTATAGCAACTATCAGTTAAAATAAAAATATAATTTTTTTGTTACAAACTTTCAAAACTTTAAACTACGCAAGTTTTAGACTTGGCCCTGATTTAAATCCCAAACAACATATTTGAAAATAAATTGATCACCAATTGAGGGGCAAAAAACTGACTAATGATTTATTCCAGATGCTTTTTGATTGTTAAGAAAATATCCCTATAAATGTTCTTATTAACTTGTTTGACTCTGTCCTTTGTCATTGTCAAGCTATATTTAAATCTAGATGCTATCCAACATTTGAAAAAATACTAATAATACTTTTTTTGGTAATTTATAACACTTTGTTTTTTTTGTTACAAAAGAACTTGGATTTACAAAATGTAAATTCAAGTTTATTTTGAAATTGAAAGCAAATGAAATTTTAAAATGTGTACATTACAAAATGTTAATTTACAAATTTTAATTCACACCTTTATGATGTTATTTATTTAGGATCTGATAATAACTAGGAACATATATCTTGCCTTTCTAGTAGGATATGCATTAGGCTGATGCATCTGGGTTTCTCTAGAAGGACTGTCAATAATAACTTTTGGGAGATATCTTTCCATTAGAGGACATAATTTATAAAAAATTTTTAGTGAGGTTTTTTTTATGATTTAGGATAATGCATCAAAACTTTTACTGGCAATCATGGAAAGTAGAAATGATGGTCAAAATGCACAAAAAATTTTATTCAACATGAGTCCACAACTACTGGTTTATTTTTATTTTGCCTTACTTTAAACATTAAAAAAATATATATTTAACAAAAATTATATATAAATACACATTTAGATTTCTTTTTATTCTTCTTATTTTTAAATTTAAATTTTTTACTACTTCATTTTACCATTTTTTTTCTTTTTTTCTTTTAATTTTTATTTATATCTGAGTTATTTTTCAAGGTGGATGTTTTTCGTCAAGCGTATCATCAAGAAGCTATTAATGTTGAAGATAGTGAGATATCTCCAAGAGATGTAGGCCATAATGTGTACATTCTTGCACATCAAGTAGGCTTTTATATAAATTTAAAAAGAAAATTTAAATTTAAATTTTTATATAAATAAAATGAAACAATAGTCTTTTTTTAATTTTATTTTTATAATTTTTAATTCTATATTTTATAATTTTATCAAACTATGGTTTGTTTATATTTTTTAATACCATAATCATTTTAGTTATATATATTTTATTTTTTATATATTTGTTTTATATATTTTGTATACTATATATTTTGATAATCTTTTCTTTATTTATATTTGTTATTTAATTCTTGTTTTTTTATTACAAGTTCTGGTGTTTAATATACATTTTTATATAATATGTTTTTGTTTATGTTTTGTATTTTTATAAAACAAGATTTTAAAAGTTTAAAACTTGACCGGAGTTTTAATTTAAACTTTTTCAAAATATGTGAAACTTTAAATTATATTTATTTCTGTACTAAAAATATTAAATAATGAAGTTTGCATTCTGCTTTTTAACAAGTTTTTGTAAATGTATTTAAACTTAGTTATCCAAACATAACAAGGAGCTTGCAGACCTTTTGAAAGTTGAAGAATGTAATGAAGAAGAACCAATAGATTCAGCATTAGAATATTACTCAAAATACACAGCACAAATTGAGGTAGATTTAATCAGTAAAGTTTTAGTTGTTTATGGCTTAGCTATTTTGTTAAATTTATAATTTTTTTTTTTTGCCTTTAGTTATTTTATTAATTAATTAAACATTCTGTTGAAATTATTGTTTTAAAAACTTAAACATAAAATACATTTAAAATTAATGCATAGATGAATTTATAGGTTGTACGAAAAGATCGTGTTCTTGAACAAATTGTTTTTCCTATTCCATCAATATGCAAGTTCCTTACGCATAAAGTAAAGGAAGATGTATTTCTTTCATGTGAGAGGGATGAGCATAACAGCAAGGTATATCTGTTACACCATCTTTTTTTAACTTTTTACTTTTATATACTATACATGCAATCATTCAGTGTTATTAGTTTCTTACTTTGGTTTTTAGTATTATGAAAATTAATTTGTTAGTGATTATAATCTCAAAATTTCATAATACTTTATTTATAACTTATTTTAAAATTTGTTTATAAGATAATTTATTTAATTCTTACTTTACATTAATATATATTTGTTAAATTAAATTAATTAAGTTTTGTATTAAAAAATATTTAACACCATTCAAGATAAAATTAATTCATAGATATTTTTGTTACACTTTTTTTTTTTTTTAGTTATTAGCTACTGAATTTGTAAACAAAGTATTTTGATGTTCTAAATAAAAGTTTTGAGTAAAAAAAATTTTATATTGTGTTTTTCTTATTTTTTATGTTTTTCTTTATTATTGCTTTTTCCTAATGTTTTCTGAATTTGTCTAATTCTGCATTAGACAAATTCTATGTCTATATCTCTGCATGCATTGCACTTGAATCTTTCACCAACACACCCAAATGCACTACATCAGAAGCACTTTTACTAGTTCTTTTTACAGCTGTCAGTACATTGGCCACCCTCAAAACTAAGTTTCTGACTAAACTGACTTCCAAGTTTCTGGCTATATTCTTTTCGAGAGTTATGAACAGCAAACTGTTAAAGACTGATTCTGAAACACTAAAACCTCTTTTAGGGTGATAAAAAAATAGTGTCAAAAAACCTTGTTCTTTTGTCACTAGATTTATAGTAATAAAAAATTGTGATAAAAGATTACACAACTTTGCATGCATGATTGCAAAAAGATTGAATTTGATTAACTTTGCCCATTTGATAATGGACAAAGTCAATCAAGATATCTGATCATTTATAATCCAATGACTGCTTTAGTTGTTCTAAATTTTTGTAAAGATTGTTACACAATCAAGCGTAACAATCAAAACAATTGTTATATCAAGCCTCTAAAATGCTACTCAGTTGTATAGATAATAGTATAGTAAAGGTAATAGTCATATAGATAATGTTGTATAGGTAATAGTGTCATATAGATATTAGAGTCATTAGATAATAGTTTCGTATAGGAAACAGTTGTATAGATAATAGTTGTATAGATAATAGTCATATAAATAATAGTACTCTTGTCTCTAATGTCTCTTCAGGCATGATTTCAGTCTTAGACTACAACTGTTATCTTTAGGATTTAGATAAGAGCCATTCTGTATATTTGATAAAATCTTAAGATGTCCTATATGATGGGACAGGATCTTGCTGAAATATTCAATTTATTTTGCTAAGATAAGTTTACATTGATTAACATAAGGATTTCTTTTTCAGCTTAAAGAAATAAAAATGCAGATTTCTGCTTCACTTGTGGACCAATAGAAGTTCTTTGACTTAAGCTACTGGAAACATAGCTTTTATCTTTTTGACTATTTCTTATTTCAATTTAGAGCATTCACATATTTCTTTATCAAGTTTAACTTAATATGGAGATTTGGTAACAAGACTTTCTTAGAAGAATTGAGCTGCTTAACATTGTATGCTTCAGGCTGCAGATTTTGTTACAATAGCCAATTTTGTCTTGTGTACTGCTGGCAATTGTTTCTGCAGTTTTTCTGACTTTGAGACAGATACAAAGGCAAAGAAAGAAGGACAGAAAGTCAAGCATCTTAAAATTTCTGCAGTGACACAAAGACTTGTGAATTTTGAAGAAATTTGCATATGCTATATCTCTTTTACAAAAAGCAGACACTTTACAAACCAGATTTAACAAATTCCACTCTTTCTTAAAAAGCAATAACAACTCATCCTTACCTTTACTTAACTTCAATGTCTCTATAATTTCTTATAAACTTTTTGCTGAATAAAAAGTTGTATTACTTCATGGCATAGAGAAACTAGAATAAGCAGATTGTTGTGAGACACTGAAACAATGTAAGAATATATCAAGATACAATAAACTCCTCTCATTACTCAAAGTTTTATATTTTGTAATATCCACAAATTGCCATACCTATAATTTCCAGGTTCTAAGAATGGATTTGGGTATGCATTTCCTTATGCCATGAAACTAACTTTCTAGTGTTGACTTGCAATTTCCACAATCGATATGTGAAGCACATGGTTTATCACCTAGTCTCAATCCAATTTCTACTTCATAACATACTTTATAATGAGTTGCCTCTTTTGGAAGTATCAGATATGTAATAAAGTCTTTCACTTTTTTGACACGATATAATAGCCATAGACATTACAAAAGCAATCTTGTTTCTTTACACAGTGACCTTGTTTGTCATGCTTTTAAGCAACTTTAAAATAATATTTTAAAGTTGCTTAAAAGATTTCTGATAAATATTATCAGAAAGATAAAAACATCCATCCAAAAAAATTTTGTTACATATTGTTGTGTAAATATAAATAAAATAGTACATATTTTGGAATTTTAGTTTTTCAGTTTTTGTCCCCCTTTAGACAGCTTTCATTTTTAACATAAAATTTTTCATGCAAAATGTACAATTTGTTGTTTAAATTATAAAATTTAGAATGTAAATACAATTTTTATTGATTGCAATCCCATTATTTAAACGGTTTTTTGTCAATTTATTTTTATTCCTTTACATTATTATTAGTCATGTAATAATGTGACCTATAAGTTATGTAATAACATTTTGGTCATGTTATTATGCATTTAATGAAGTTATTACATAATTTATCAGTCATTTTATTACATAAGTTATGCTATTACAATAGCATTCATATAATAATATTATAAAAACTGTAACTTTATATTAGAGGGGGAGGGGGAGTATGAAAAGTAAATATGTTTTGGTGTTGGGAATTAATAGAAAATTTAATTAATGTGTATTGCAGAAGAAAGAAAAGAAATTTTCTTTTCAGCGACTGGCTTGAATAACAAGGGTATATATAACCCCTAGAAATATTGTATTGTGTTATAAAGAGTTTAATAAGGATAAGTTTATGTACTATAAACAGATGTTTTTACTTAATTTAATTATATAAAAACTTATCTAAGATGTTAACTTTTAAAAATTTTTTGCTACAATAAATAATCAAATTAAAAAAGAATAATTATGATCGCAAGAATATTAGGTTTATATATATATTTTTAAATGGAATTAAAAACAATGCAATGACTTTAGATTTTCAAACAAAACAATTGAAAATCTGTTGACGAAAAATTTTATGTGAAACATTGAAAAGCTTTTTAATTTTTTTAATTATTTTTAACATCTAGGTCCCAGACTTTTTTGGAAGAACTGAAGTACTAACTAAAGAGATGAAATGGCAAAAAAAGTTAAGAGGTCAGAATTTTTTTCTTTTTATTTGAATTAAAAATACTTTTTAACTTTGTAACAATTGTTAAAAATGAGTAGTTAGTAACAATTAATTCAAAACTATATATAAATTATATTATGTTTCTTTAGAAAAACCAAAACTTTTTTGGATAAGCAGTCATTGGGGTCTTTGGGAGGCAATTGCATTAAATCTAGCTATTGTTGTGAATCTTTTAGTTGCATTTTTTTATCCCTTTTCAGATGAGCCAATCAGTAATATTAATTTGATTACTTTTGTTATAATTACTATAATATTTAAAAATAATTACCTAAAACTTCTCTTTGAGTTAGAGTACAATTAATACTGATTTGTTTTTTAATGTACAATTTATTTTTTCATTAGAGCTTGATAATAGGTTATCTCTACTTATATGGATTACAATTGTCTTGTCATTTGCTATAAGTGTAACTGTTCCTCGCCAATCTGGAATTCGTACATTAGCTGGAGCGGTCATTCTACGTCTAATATTCTCTGTGGGTATTAAGCAAACGCTCTTGATTTTAGGATTAATTAATGTAAGATTTTTAATTTTTTTGCAACTTAGTTTTTTAGTTTTTTGAAATTTAGTCTCAATTTCTTAAGTATGAATATTTTTTTTTTTTTTTTTTTTTTTTTTTCTATTTTAGGTTTTGAATCGATCCATTTTAGCAATTAGTTTTTTTGCAAACAATGGTACGTTAGTCCAACAGTCTATACCAAAGATGTTAAAAGATAAACTTGTTTTTGCAAACTTGATGTGCCTAGCTACAAGTTATTTGGGTTTTTTTGTGCATGAGTTCTTTTATAGTTTACTAGTAAGTTTTTTAATAATAAGTTTAAAAAAAATTTTAATAGCATTTATTAATAGTGTTTTAGATTTAGTGCAAATAATTCCTAATATTACATATTTTTTCTATGAAGCAATGAAAGACTGTTTATTAAATTATTATTATCATTATTTTACTTTATTTTTTATAAGTAAATATTACTTGCCACCACCCTAACATATCATTCTATGTATAATAACTAACCTTTTTTTTTTTTATACAAAGATATCACTTGCTCTCACTCTTTCTCATCAGTCTATTAATAATATAACTTCTTTTTGCTTATCCTCATTTTAGCATGTTTTCATCATTTTATTTTATCATAAACTAGCTAGAATTAATTTTTAGTTAACTAATTAAAAGTTTTAGCTTAGTCAATTACAACACTTGATAGCAATTTAACTAACATCTTACTAATTAGTATTCATTAATTAAATTAACTTTAATTTATGACAATAAAATGTATGAAAAATTTACAGAAACGTTTAGAAGATTATAAGAATAATAAAAGTTCATTAAGTATTGGTTAATATTGTTTTCTTAAATAATCTGACATACTATAAACAAAAAAATATGGTGCAGAGGGTTTTATAAAGCTTTACAAAATGTTCTCATAGTGTTTAATGTTTATTTAATTTTTTTGTTATTACAGTTGTACCAAGTCAACAGTAGAAACTATCAATAGTGAAATTAAATTGTTGGATCAATATTATGAGGTAGAAATAGAGAATAGACTTTTTTTTTTACCGTTTAACTATTGCATTGACATGTTGAATTTGTGCATTTACACACATGATGAGATTATGAATTGATGTAGATGTTGAAGTAGTTTGCAATCACACACATGAGTTTATGAATTGATGTACATGTTGAACTAGTGTGCTTTCACACACATGATGAGTTTATGCATTATTGATGTATGTGTTAAACTAGTGTGCACTCACATGATGAATTTATGCATTGATGTATGTGTTGAACTAATGCAATAACACACATGTTGAACTAGTGAATTTGAAGCTTTGAATTGTGTTAGCAGGTTAAAAGTTATCAAAGTTTAGCTTTTTACACAGGTTAAGTATATTTCTTTCAAATATGTTTAGTAGTTTATAATTCATCAAATTTTATTTTTCAACACAGATTAAGTATTTTTTTTTTCTATTGGTTAAATATTTTTAAAAAATTTTTTAAGTTGTTTTAGTGTAGTACATTTGTATGTAGTTATTAGTTGCTAAATATTTTTTCTAGTTTAGTTAAGTAGTTGTGTTCTATTATTCCACCAAGTGAAGTAAAATGTAAGGTAAATAGATAAACCAAGTGAAGTAAAATGTAAGGTAAATAGAAAAAAAAAAAACTTATTAAAATTAAATTTGGTTTTTTGTTTTCTTTTGTTTTTATGGAATTGTTTTTTTGTTTTTTTTTAATATAAATCAAATAAATAAAATCAAATTTTTTAATAAATCAGATAAAGTAGTTTTTGGACAGTGGCTCATCAGAGTCATGACTATCTAAATTCGACTATATGCTAAAAACTTAATGTTGTGCCAGCAAAAAAATTAGGAACTTTAAAATTTTTAGATTTTATTTTATGGCCAAAAAATTGTAAAATTGATAATTTAAAAAATAACTATTAACTTTTTTAATTTTTTTGTTTTGTTTTCTTTAAGTTTTATCAGAATTCTTGGACCAAAATATTTTCTTTTAATTTTTATAAATTTTTGGACGGAATACAAAGTTTTTTTTGAATATGGTGTACCTTTTTGTTGTTGATCGCTAGAAAAAGCAGTCAATTACAAAAAAAATTTAATTTCAAATTTTTTGACCAAGAAATTTTAAAATAAGTTTAAAATGAGAGCAATGCACAGTGGGACAGTGTGTGCCAAAATACAAAAAAATCACCATCGACATTGTATTCTGAAAATATGTCATAATGGTGAAAATATGTTTATTAGAGGAAATATATAGTTAACAAAACATTAAATATTAATTTAAACGTTGTTTTATGCGGTTATATACACGTGAATTTGATATGTGTTTCAAAACGCTTTTTTGCATTTTTTAATTATCAACTTTCTTACGCTACTATTGTTTTAAATTAATTTTATTGAGTATGATTTTAAAATATATTATTTGAATTAACTTTGTTTTTTTCGCTCTGACTATTCAAAAGAATTAAACGTAAGTGTATTCTTCAGTGTTTATGCATCAGTGACAGGCAGTTTTGGCTTTTTTTTTTGCGACTAACCTTTACTATTAGGTATCAGATAAACCATCCTCCAATATCCTCCAAACATTTGATTATGTAAATCTAATGCTTAATGTATCTGCAATGTTTTGCAACTTTTTGCAACTAATAAAGTTATAACAAATAACTCATACTCGATTCATAGTATTTATTGCAAAAACACGTTTTTCATAAGTTCAAATATTTTTAATGACTTTTTAACTGCAAATTAATTATGCAAGATTTTTTTTTCCAAAGGTATCAATAGTTTTTTTTTTTTTAATTATATATATGACGCTTGTTGATATGGTGCCTTTTTCCCTCCATCCCTCCCCCCCCCCCCTCCCTTTCTTTTCCTTCTTAAAAAAAATATTTTTATAATCTTTTCAGTATATCTAATGCTTTTACATATAGTGTATGCACTAATAATATTTTACAGACATTTGTCCACAAGATGAAATCATATATTCATTTGCTATCATTGTTTGAGTTATCCCTTGATCAGAACAATGAAATCGTTCAGAGATCAACACTTATGAACATTTTAGCACATCTTAAATATCGCTGGAATGTCTGTAAACGCAGAGAACCTTTATTTATTAAGAAAAATACTAAATGGCTTGATAATGAAATTAATTGAAATGATTTTGCTGCAGGCAAAATAACCTGTTAATTGCATCCAGCTAAACATCCCCTGCCTTGGGGCTCTTGGTTGAGTAAAGGCTAGAGATGGTGTCTCGATAAAAATACTCATCTTGGGCAGATGTTAACTGCATCCTGCTACTGTCTTGTAGAAGGCCTTCTAGGCAAAGACTTTAGGGGTAAGCAGAAAAATTCTGCTAACCAGCCTCGAACCCCTTCTTCATCTATTAGGCTGGCGTAGATGTAACCTGTCTTACATTGTTTCCTGCCTAGGATGATGAATGCTGGATCTCCTTGACTCTACTCATAGAATTTTGCTTATGCCTCCTTGATAATGGCTATGCAACTCTTCCTGTTATCTCCATATGAGGGTACAGCTCTAAAACTCAGTTTAATGGTTCTGAGGCCGGCTGGTAGTGAGGTTTCCCGAACTCTGTGGTAGCTCTCAGAAAGGCTGATTCCATCAACAGCTGCAAAATATCAGAGTATTGACAGTGCCATGTTGCGCATGGATGGTGTCCCTGTTAATGCTTTTGGTGTGCATTGTCAAGGCCACATAAGGAGCCCTATGTCACGGCTTAGGGTTAATTAACAGGACTGAGACAACTGCATAGCTCATTGATTAGGAGGCTGTGCTCTATCTATGAATGAGTCAAGTTCTCATTAAACCCAAATCATGACCAAAGTAACCAAAAATTTAAAACCTAAAAAACCATCCCCACCACCTAAATACTTTAATATATCTTTTACAAATATTCGCGGTCTACGAAGCAATTTCCATCAGTTGAGTCTTACCTCCTGCAAAATTCACCAGACTTGCTTGCACTCAGTGAAACAAATTTAAGTTCTGCAATTCCTTCTTCAGATGTCAGTGTTGATGTGTACTATCCTTTGATTCGTAAAGACTCCAACAGTCACATGCTAGGTTTAGGGGTATACATACGCATTAATTCCCCTATTTGTCGTGAAATCACGTTCGAATCCTTTGACCATTCTTTTATGTGCTTTCGCCTAGCACCTCTTCACTCTATCACCTTTCTCTTTGTTCTTTATCGTTCTTCTTCTTCCCATGATTGCACTCTTTTAGATGTTATCTCTGATCAAATTGACCATGCCCTCTCTCTTTACCCCTCTGCCAATATTGTTGTTGGTGGTGATTTTAATGCCCATCACACTGAATGGCTTGGCTCTAACACCACTGATCCTGCTGGCACTAAAGCCTTTAACTTCTGCGTTTCTCAATCTCTTACTCAGATAGTTAACTTTGTGACTCGTTTTCCTGACAACCCTAATCATTTACCTTCACTCCTTGACTTATGTCTTGTCTCTGACCCTAGCTTATGTTCAGTTTCTCCCTTTTCTCCCTTAGGTGGTTCTGACCATGCAATGATCTCTATAAATCTTTCTTCTCGTACTTCTTTTTTGGGCTCACCTTATCATCGCACCACCTACTACTACCCTAAAGCTGATTGGGATTCCTTTCGTGATTTTCTTCGTGATGGTCCTTGGGCTGATGTTTTTTCTCTCTCAGCTGACAAATGCGCCTCCTACGTAACCTCCTGGATTCAGGCTGGAATGGAAGCTTTTATTCCTTCTCGTCGGTTTCAAGTCAAGCCTCATTCTACTCCATGGTTTTTTCCTTCTTGTGCGGCTGCTATATCCAATCGTAACCATTTTTTTCATCTTTTTCAAAAGAACAACTCTCTTGAGAACAAACGGCTATTTATTATTGCAAGAAATCGATGTAAAAAGGTGCTTTCTGATGCTAAACTCCATTATTCTCAGTTCACTAAATCTCGCATCTTATCGCAGAAGTTAGGCTCTAAAGACTTTTGGAAAATCTTCAACAGCATTGTTAACAAGGGTAGATCTAACATTCCATCTCTCATTCATGGGACTGATCTTGTTACCTCTCCCAGGGATAAGGCAGAACTGTTTGCAAAGAACTTTTCTTCTAATTCCACTCTTGAATCTTATGGACTTATCTTCCTTCCATTCCATTCAAACAGGTTGACCCATTGTTAGACATTCAAATCACTCCGGCTTCTGTTGCTAAAGTCATATCTCAATTAAACTCGTCTACAGCTTGTGGTCCAGACAACATTCCAATCACAGTCTTGCAGAA